CGCAACGTGTTCAATGTGCGTGTGTGCGTGTGTGGCATCCTGCCCGTCGGCCGCTTCACCGAGAGCCCGGTGTTCTTTAAATTTCTGGACGGAGCTGGGCAGCGATCACCTTCTAGCAACATGAAAACCGGTAGGCGCCACTGAATGCAGTGCGTGTCTTGAGCCCAATTCAAAAGGGTAGCACATTCTCCATATATATATATATATATATATATATATAGCTTGGGAGCGCGGGTGACCACTCCACACCGCGGCTATAGCCACCCCTGCATGTTCAGAACGGACGGGGCGTTACTTTTAGCTCCTAGCTAGGGGAACGCGGATGGCTGTGTAGCTCGCCCGTCTCTGATACCTGTACAACTGCAATCCCCACTCGACCGATGTCAAGCTCTTCAGGGTGCAGCTTTGACCCGTCCGAATATACCGGAAGGTCTTTGCATAAAGGGGAGGGGCCACAGGGCCCATTAACATCGAAAGGCTGGAGCTGTCTGACTACCCACCAGACCACCCCAACCCAACCCGAAGACCCGAATTTGACCCGAATTTCGGGTTGGGGGGTGTACGGGTTCCATATGTTTTTTCATTGTTCCCCGACCCCCCCCCCACTGGAAATCGAGGATAAATTTGGGCCTTCGGGTTGGGATCGGATGGTTTGGTGGGTGGTGACTGTCAGCCCTCCACAGGCTGGGAGACTTCCGTTTGGACAGCCCGCAGCTTGGCATGGAAGGGATCGTCTTCACCTGCAGCCGAGGCAGCCTCAACTATTTCAGGGCTGGGAAACTCTTCCCTAAGTTCCCTAGACAGCAACGCATGTGAATACACGTTGGAATTTCGCGTCTGCGTCCCAGCAGTGCGGGCAACAACTTGAAATGATAAAGCCCCAGCGCCGTAAAGAAGCCCCAGTGTTCACGCAACCATTGAATATGCTCACCACCAGCTGGGCTTCCAGAAATGAAAATGTCTTGCGGCCGGCTTTGAAGCAGCGCTCGAAAAGTTGCCACCATAAGTCTTGGTCATTGAGGGCACTGTGATTGGGAGCACGCTTGCTAACGTTTTCCTGAATCTGCGTATCCTTATATTGCGGCGTGAATAGGCGCGACACGTTGCAAGAATATGCCCTTTAACAAATCAAGTGTATTTCCCACCCCGTCTTTAAACTGGTTTGCGCTGAGTGCCGCCCATCCCACCTCCGTCAGTCCCAAGAGCATCTGGCTGATTGGGCCACAAGAGCGGCCCTGCCACGACCAAAGATTAGTCGAGCTGGGTCCAGCCTTGGCGACTTCGAAGGCTGTGTGGAGCTCTGGGGTTGACATGCTGTCCACGTGGCGCCTCAGGCCGTCTCTACGGAGAAGAGAGAAGTCCCACCATTCTCTGCAGTAACGTTCAAAGCACCTCCCAAGCATCTCCAGCGGATCCGTCTGGGACACCACACCGCACACCGCACGGCGTAGCAGATATAACGATAACGAAGACGCCATTCAACGCAACTTCGACAATTCAGTAAGACTGAACCCATGCGTGGCACCTCCGTACTTGATCACAGAGCGCCTTGCTACGAGAAAGAACCTGGATTTGAGCTTACGGACCTCTTATCCTGGCAGGCTCCTCAAACGATTTACTCTTTTTTGAAGCAAAGCCATGTGTTTTGTCGGGTGATGTTGGACGCCCCATCAATGGCGCTTGTGTTTCCCCCTGAGAAGCCTATCCCTGGCTGCGAGGCCGAGTTCCAGCAGGGAAGCTGAGCTGGCTGCCATTGTTAGTTTGGGTCTAGCCAACGTGACCTGCAGCTCACGTGGTCGTGCTACTCCGCGAGGTGCAACTCCATGAAACAGTTTGCTCAATGCCCTCCGACCATGTTCCCAAGGCGGCATCACCAATCCGGATGTTGGCAGCACTGTTCGGGGCTTGAGTCTAAGCCTTTGCCTCCTATAGAAAGAACGCTGAGCCTGCTGCTGCTCCTCGCTCTGGATCCCTCTCCTCCGACAGCCGCCCCGTCCATGATCGGCCGCCTCGGCCATCGGCACACCGGTGCATAGGGTAGTGGGGGAGACCCGCATTCCGCAGCAGCACGCCGTGACGGATAAAGTCGCAAAGGCGTTGCAAGTGCCAGAGAACCAAACGGCACGTGCCACCCAGGGGAATTGGCCATTTCGCTCCTGGCAGGCTGGCGCCATACCGTGTCTTCGGTGCTGCGACCTTGCGAGCTACTATAAACTCCTTGGCCAGTCCGAATGAGGCCTCCCAGTGTCTGGCCTGGCGGGCTCCTAACTTAGCACTGGCACGAACGCTGCCAGGGACGACGCTGGGCTCCTCCTACCTCCTCCCTTATGCTTCAAGGCCAGGGCCAGCTGCAACCTTTGTACTGATGACCGGGTCGTGCTCAAGGTAGTACCTGGAACAGCCTGGACATGAAACGCAAACACTGGTCCGATACCAGGCTGAAACAGCAGGGGTGAAAGCCGTCGGGCTGGCACGTCCATTCTCTATGTGTGGCAGCTGACGTCTTGATTTGTTCTGGGTGTCAAGGTTCGGGGTCAGCGACAACGGGGCGGTCACGATTCCACTCCGGATTCTTCGACGGGGTCCTCCTCCTCCTACTCCTTTCCTCCTCCTCCTTTGTCCTCCTCCTCCAAATCATCATCATCATCAGCATCATCATCATCATCATCATCATCATCATCATCATCATCATCATCATCATCATCATCATCATCATCATCATCATCATCATTTCTTCCTCCTCCTCCTCCTCCTCCTCCTCCTCCTCCTCCTCCTCCTCCTCCTCCTCCTATCCCCTACAATTACTCCTTCTCCGCCTCCTCATCCTCCTCTCCCTTGCTCTCCTTCATCCTCCTCCTCCTCCTCCTCCTCCCGCTGCTCCTCCTCCTCCTCCTCCTCCTGTTCCTCCTCATCCTCCTCCTGCTTCTGCTCGTGCTCCTCCTCCTCTTCCTCCTCCTCCTCCTCATCCTCATCTTCATCTTAATCCTCATCCTCAGTATGCTCATCCTCCTTATCTTCCTCCTCCTCCCCCTGCTCCTCCTCCTCCACCTCCTCATCATCCTGATTATCGGCGCCATCGACATAACCATCGCTAGCAGCAGCAGCAGCAGCAGCAGCAGCAGCAGCGTCCGCCTCCTTCTCAACATGACCATCATCATCGTCATCGTCATCATCGTTATCTCCACAACCATAGCTGCTCATCTTCATAATCACCATCAGCAGCAGCATCATCACCATCATCAGCAGCAGCAGCATCAGCAGCATCATCAGCATCCTCATCAACAGCATCAGCATCATCATCAGCAGCATCAGCATCAGCATCAGCATCATCATCAACAGCATCACCAGCAGCATCATCAGCATCATCGTCACCATCATAATCAGCATCATCATCAGCATCAGCATCGTCATCATCATAATCAGCATCATCATAATCATAATCATAATCATCATCAGCAGCAACAGTATCATAATCAGCAGCAGCATCAGCATCAGCATCACCACCACCATCAGCATCATCATCAGCATCATCATCAGCATCAGCATTAACAACAGCATCATCATCGTCAGCAGCATCAGCAGCATCAGCAGCATCAGCATCATCAGCATTGTCATCATCATCGTCATCATCATCATCAGCATCATCATCAGCCGCTGCAGCATCAGCATCATCATCATCATCAGCAGCAGCATCGTCAGCATCATCAGCACCATCCTCATCCTCATCATCAGCAGCAGCATCATCCTCATCCACATCGTCGTCGTCGTCGTCCTACTCATCCTCATCCTCCTCGCGCATCCTGTTTCGCTGTATATATGAATGCCGCGCCCACAGGCGTGTCGGTAGGACGGGCCCTCGCCTTAGCGCCGCGCACATTCGTCTTTGAAGTTTGCAACAGCTTCACGGATAGAGGGCGGGTGGCTTGCAAAATGTGGTTCTCCCCTCAGCGCCACGCATACTCGTCTTCAAGAGTTGCAACAGCTTCACTGACTGAGGGCGGCCCGTTTTTTAATTGTGGTTCTCGCCTCAGCGCCGCGCGCATTCGCCTGAAAGGCTTGCAACATCTTCAATCATGGAGGGCGGTTCCTTTTCAAAGTGTGGGTATTGCCTTAGCGCCTCGCACATTCGCCTAATTGGTTGGAAACTGTTTCAAGGATTCGCGTGGTCGAAGTCCCACGAATGGTGTTCTGGCACGGTTTAGGCATGTCAGGACGCACCATTCACGTTGATTCGCGGTGTTGAAGTCCCAGGAGTGCGGTTCTGGCACGACTATGGATTCGTCAGGACGCAACAGTCACGTGAATCTGCGTTGAAATCCCAGGAACGGTGTTCTGGCAAGGTTGAGAATGATCATATGGTTGTCTTCCAGTGGTCCATTTCCCGCAATGAAAATAAATAAGATCATGGGCCTGTGAAAAGGGAACCTAGAGGGGGCTTAGTGCAACATCGTTGATGCGTTTTGGGTCTACTCTGGTCCTCCTCGTCATCGTCCTCCTCCTCCTCCTCGTCCTCGTCTTCGTCCTCCTCCTCCTCCACCCCATCCTCCTCCCCGTCCTCCTCCTCCTCCTCATCCTCCTCCTCCTCCTCCTCCTCCTCCTGCTCCTCAATGTCCTTCTCCTCCTCCTGTTCCTCCTCCTCATCATCATCATCCTACTCCTCCTACTCCTCCTCCTCCTCCATCCCATCATTCCTCCTTTCGATGATCCTCAGAAAGTGTGTCAGCGCCACCGTGTGCTCGTCCACCGAGGCCCTTCCATACACCGCAGGCGGCGCAACGAGGGCCGACACAGACTGCGCGGCATCTGCGGAGCCGAACGGGGCAAACACACGCGCTTGGGCGATCCCGAGGATCGTCGAGCCTGCCCCTCCTCCCCCTCCCCCTCCTCCTCGCGGTCACTCCCCTCCCCCTCCTCCTCCCTCCCCCTCCCCCCCCTCCTCCCCTCACCCCCCTCCCCTCCTCCCCCTCCCCCTCGCTCCGACGCGGGCTGGCCCCGCAGGCCTCGAGGTAGGGCTCGTGCAGCTTCCCGAAGACGAAGCCCAGAGAGTTCTTGTTCTGCGCCTCTGACAGGCCCAGCGCCGGTGCGGCTTCGGGCCGCGCACGGGTGGTCCCAGCGGAGGAGGAGGAGGAGGAGGAGGAGGAGGAGGAGGAGGAGGAGGAGGAGGATGCAGCTGAGGGGGGGTGGCAGCGCTGGGCGGTGTGGCCGGTGCCGGGCGCAGGCGGCGTCCCCCCCCCCTCACAGCGGGGCCGGCGGCGGTCCGAGCGCCCCACGGCTGGTCACCGAGCGCGCTCCTTTCCTCTCGGGAGGGGAAAAAGCACACAGGCACAGTGAGTCGTCGATTCCCAGGAAAATATGCGGAAAAATGGGAAGCGGGGGGGAAGGCAAAAACCCAGGAAATATGGGGAAATATGGGGAATCCTGTTATTTGTGTGTACCCTGTTACGTGTGTGTAGTATTTATTTGTGTGTCCTAGGGCTCCTTCATACTCGCAAAGTGCCTACTCGCAAACGTCCGAACAAGAACATGCCCTCCCCTGTGTAGTGTATCTGAAATCCCCCGCGGCGGATCCGGGCCACCTGCGAGTGGTAACTCTGCGAGTCGTGGAGCGCGCTCGGGGGCTTGAGACCACTCCCTGGCCGCCTCAGTGTTCGACTACACGTAAGAGCGACCCTCGACGGCGAGCGAGGGGGGAAATGCGAAGGGGAAGGCCTTCTCGGAAGGCGGGGGGCTTCTCAGCAGCTCTCGTAGCTGGTTTTCCTGGCGCGAGGCGCCCATGTCTCGAGGAATGGGCCCGGCGGCGGGGCCGAAACCAGCTGCATGCAGCAGATTTCGTACCCCCCCCCCCTTCCCAATGCCCCCCTTTCGTTCGGCCCGATCCTGCTGCGGGGCCGAACCTGAACGGCGTTTTTGTCTTCGTGCTGTTTGCCGTTCTACCTCTCGGGGGCGCGCAAACATGGATTAGCGATCCATGGACTTGGCGCGCGGCCGCCAAATCCATGATGGATCGGGCGAGGTGCCCTCCCCAAAATGCGACCGTTGCCGCCTCGCTCGGCGGCGGGAATCCGCGATTTCCCCTGAAACGGGACCCTTCGCTAATCCACGCCCCCTTAATCCATGTTTGCGATCGCCTGGTACCTCCTTCTGCCTTCGCCTCGCCTCGAATGCAAAACCAGATTTTTTATTTATATATCTTTTATATACATATATATATATATATTATAATAAAAAAAAAAAAAAAAAAAAAAAAAAAAAAAAAAAAAAAAAAAAAAAAAAAAAAAAAAAAAAAAAAAAAAAAAAAAACGGCCCCACGAGATGGCCAAGACACCGCCCAGGTCCAGCCCTGCCCTGCCGAGGCGTCCCCTCGGCCCTCGAGGCGGCGAGGGCGGAGGTGTTTCCCCACGGGCTCGACGGCTTGTGGGACGGCTGGGGACCTCTTCCCGGCCGGCGGAGGCCTCCGGAAGCCTCCGGGGGGCCTCTGCGGGCCAGACGACGCCGGGCAGAAGGCACACTTCGGACAACGCCGGCCGGCCCAGCGGGCCACAGGGCGCGCTGGAATCCCCATGGGCGGCGCAGACGGTATAACCACCCGCTCGCGCGCGCGACCCCTGGAGGTCCTCAGAGGAAGAGAACCCCGCCCAGGTCCTGGCGAGCGCCGCGCATCGGCGGCGAGCGAGGGAGGAAGTGGGAAGGAGGAGGCCCCCTTCAGAAGGCGGCGGGACTTCCCAGAAGCCCTCGCGCCTTCTGAGCGGCTCTCTGCGCGTCTGCGGGGAAGGCTCAGAAAGCGTCTCGGGAAGCTGAGGGACTTTCGAGCCTTCTGAGAGGGCTTTCTCCGTCTCGCTCCCCCCCCCCCCGCGCTCGCCGCCGAAAGAGGGCGGGGGGCACGGGGTCCTCCCTGCAGGAGCGAGGACAGGGAGGAGGAGGAGGAGGAGTAGGAGGAAGAGGAGGAGGAGTGTCATGAGTGTCATAGATCCAAGAAGTGAACGGCGAGCGAGGCTCAACCGTCACCCTCGGCCTCCCAGACAGGAGGGTCAGGGGAAAGGCAAATACCTCGTCGCTGAGCGACTCGCTGCCCAACCGAGACGGCGTGGCGTGGTGCGCAGGGGGACAGTTGGTTCACCGCGTCACCGCGCAGTACTTCCCGACCGTCACCCCTGCCGAATCGGATGGCATGTGCAACTGGGTTTGTACCCCAGGGTGAGCGGGCACAAGGTCCCAAGGGACTTAAATGCACACTCCCCGTGCCTGGTACCCATCTCCAGGTCACGGGCGCAGCTAACGCGCAGCTGCCACGGGCAAAGTGCCACGTGGCTGGTGCAAGGACGACGACAGCCGGTCTATCTGCCCCCAGCCGCCGCATGCAATTATTGACGCTGACAGTGTGCCCCGAAGAGTGCGCGGCGCTGACACCATGAGAACAGGTGCCAGGCCCCCACCCTCGGGGCGGAGGAGGAGGAGGAGGAGGAGGAGCGAGGAGGAGGAGGAGCGAGGAGGAGGAGGAGGAGGAGGAGCGAGGAGGAGGAGGAGCGAGGAGGAGGAGGAGCGAGGAGGAGCGAGGAGGAGGAGGAGGAGGAGGAGGAGGAGGAGGAGGAGGAGGAGGAGCGAGGAGCGAGGAGCGAGGAGCGAGGAGGAGGAGGAGGAGGAGGAGGAGGAGGAGGAGGAGGAGGAGGAGGAGGAGGAAGGGGGGGGGGGGCCAGGAGGGCGGGAGATGGGGGCGGCGACGCTCGCCCTGGCTCGGCCCGACATGTGCCCCCGCGGCCACAGGAGGAGGGAGTGGGTTGACACAGCCAGGCTTAAGTCGGGCGTGCCCCCTACAGTGGGATTTTGGGCGAACAAATAAGAAATAGCAACAAAAGAAAAAATATTCAAACGTAGTCCACAGTGATCACAAAATCATCCCCTGACTGTTTTTGACTATGTTGGAATGCTCCTCCTGTAGAGGGACACGCCCGACGTAAAGCCAGGCCCCAAATCAAAGATGTCAGAACTCGCGGGCGCGGGCCTCAGAATCCCGCAAGAAAAACCTAAGGTTGGGTCGGGCACGTCCCCCCTACAGGAGGATCTCGGACGAAAAATCTAAAATGCTAAAAAAATGTTCAAAATAATCAAAAAAAAAAAAAAAAAAAAAAAAAGCTCAAACCATCGTCCACGGACTATTCCTTAAATATTTTTGAATATTCCTCCAGTAGAGGGACTGGCCCGACTTAAACCTAAGGGAGCGCCCCTGGAGAACGCCCAAAGGGAGCCCTTCAGGGGTCTCGAGACGGCCCGAGAAGGCCCCGAGGGCCCCAAAACGGCCCCACAACTCGATAGTCGCTGATTTCCTTGATGCGTTCGACACCCCAAGACGGCCAAAGAGGCCCCCAGGAGGCCCCCAAGAGGCCCCGAAGAGGTCCCCAAGGAGCCCCCGAGACCGCCAGCAGGCCCCACAGAGCCCCCAGGAGCCCCCAGGAGGCCAACAGATCCCCGACAAGCCCCCAAAGGCCTCCAGAGGCCCCAGAGGAGCCCCAGGGAAGCACCAAGGAGGCCCCAGGAAGTCCCTGGGAGGCTCCCCTAGAAGCCTCCAAAGAGGCCCCCGAGAGGCATGCGGATAGCCCCCGAGACGCATCCAGAACGCCTCCGACCCACGACCCAGGCACGGTGGCAAGAAGCTTTGACGAAAAACTTCGGGTTGGAGGGGATAAAAGTTCCACACGTGTTTTTTCAGTGTTCCCCGTCGCCCCCCCTCCCCACTGGGAATGGAGGGCTGATTGGAGACTTCGGGTTGGGTTGGGGCGGTCTGAAAGACAAGACAAGACAAGACAAGACAAGACAAGACAAGACAAGACAAGACAAGACAAGACAAGACAAGACAAGACAAGACAAGACAAGTCCCGCGCTGAAAGCACCTACGCGGGTGCAGCGGGTGGGCCCCGGAGCGCCTGTGCAGGATGGGCTGACAGCTCAGATGCTGGAGTCCCACCAGCCCTCTGGGCGCAGGTGGTCTAACGATGACTGTCGTTCCTCTTCCAAAAACCCTTCCTCTTCCCTTCGGGGAGGGGTTTATCACTGCTCCCTATTAATATACACCCCCTCCCCCAGGCGACTGGGAGCCAACCCGAGTCGATGAGGGCACCCGCCCACAATCCCTTGTAAAAAACAAGACAAACACACTCGGCCTCCAAATTCGGAGCATGCGCAGCGAACCCGATGCGGCCTGCCCCCACCATCCCTGGCAAAAAACAATACAGAGTACACTTGGCGGCGGCGGCTGCGGCGGCTGCGGCGGGGGCAGCCGCTGCGGAGGCTGCGGCGGTGGCGGCGGCGGTGGCGGCGGCGGCGGGGCGGCGGCGGCGGCGGCGGCGGCGGCGGCGGTGGTGGCGGCGGCGGCGGCGGCAGCGGTGGCGGCAGCGGCTGCGGCGGCAGCGGCTACGGCGGCGGTGATTCGGCAGCGGGGGAAGCGGCGGCGGCGGCGGCGGCAGCGGCGGGCAGCGCGGCGGCGGCGGCGGCGGCAGCGGTGGCGGCAGCGGCTGCGGCGGCAGCGGCTACGGCGGCGGTGATTCGGCAGCGGGGGAAGCGGCGGCGGCGGCAGCGGCGGCGGCGGGCGGCGGGCGGCGCCGGCGGCGGAGGCGGCGGCGGTGGCGGATTCGCCCCCAGTAGCTGCCCATCGAACGACGACTGCTGAATATGCTGCGGCTCGGGCCAGGCTCGGGTGCTACGTATGTGTTGGGAGGGCGGGTGGGAGTGAGCGAGACTGCTTGCGGGCGGGGAGGGCGTCTTGACCCCTTCCCCTACCCCCTCCCCTGGACCTGGACGAGAGGTGCCGCGAGGCGTTAGAGCGTCCGTAATCGGCCCCTGGGAGAGCCAATTCTTGACATCCCTCACGAGGATCGTGGCCCCCGAGGGGGGGGCCTCGATCGGGTGAATCCCTCCTTTGATCGATAGCCTCGAAGATGGCCCTCAGAGGCGCTCCAGAGCCCCAAGAGACCCCCAAGAGGGCTCCAAGAGGGTCCCAAGAGGGCCC